CGTTTAGGTCTCCCAGTTATTTACAGCACGCCATATACTTCCGCTACTTCACCGCCTGGCATTGCATACACACACATATACAAACACACACACACACACACACACACACACACACACACCAGACGTCCTTTGCACGTGCATATGCGACGAACACGCCGCGATCGGCGTTATTTTTGTTTAGTCTGTTGGTCGTACGCGTCTCTGTGTTCTCTCAAAACTACCCGCCGCATGTAATTGCCGGGCACACGGAGAAGCTGTCAATATCCGAATACTTAACTTTCCCGCGGTGTTCATGTTATTGCGGAAGGTACAACAATTGAGTACCCTTCGCAAGGGAAAAATCAGAACAATCGTAATTGGATCCTCTCTCTGTATCTATTCCTAACATCTATTCCTATGAAAATCTCCTCCTATTCTCATATTACAATTTTTTATATTAAACAATTAATATGATACCATAATAAATATAAAATAGATAAGAAAAATGATAAGTCAATTATAAATTATGAAAAGCAATTTTTTTTCTAAACTGTTCTTTTCCAATTTTGAAAATAATGGGACTGAAGTTGTTACAAAGGGGTTAAAAATCGCTGCACGTCATGATCTTTCGTAAGCGGTATTTTACGTATTCAAGTTTCTCGCGTAAAGCTCCACGGTTCGGATGGTTGCACGGTGAAATTTACTTCCTCGCTCCCGGAAGTCGCGTTATTCCTTCCGGACGGAGGCGAGTCCCGAGAGCCGTCTGCCAACATTATAGACACGGTGCTTACAGTGCTCTCCATACAACGGGGCGAGTCAATACTTTATAGTTCGAAGTGAACTCGCTCGCTCGCTCGCTCGCTCGTACTTCGCTATCACCCCCTCGTCGCGCCACTCCCTTCGCTAGGAGCCGTCGCGGAGGGTGCCAAGAGCACCAGGGGCTTTACATCGCTCCTCCTGCCCTTTCCGCCCATCGCCGCGCGCAAATACGAGCGATGTATCGCGAGCTCTGTCGGTCTGTGTACGTCCTCTACATGTACGAAGGTTAGAGAGTGTAAAAGAGGACGACTCGAGGAAAAATTTATTAACATTTGTTAAATAACATTTGTTAAAAAAAATTGATTTGAGAATTTAATTTAATGTAAAATTTAATACAGAAAATAATTCAATTTTCAAGTTCTATAAGTTACGTCTTATATAGGTAAGGATACTTATTAATTCGAACTTTGTTAGCTTGCCACTTTATGAAAATTATTGTAAATTTTACATCGCGGAGAAATTGAAAAATTTATAAAAAGAGTTACCAGTTTTTTTATATCATGCATTCAATATTATTAAAAACAGATTTGATATATATATATATATATATATATATATATATATATATATAGACACCAATTAATACCGACCCGAATATTTTCGAAGATGATTTAAAGACTATGAGAGAAATATTTATAATATACTTCTTCATGTTTATTATTATTAGTCTACATGATTAAAAAATATTGAACGATATTCTTAAACCTCTCTATCGCAAGGCTCTTACGAGATATTTATAGAACTAAAATAGCTTGCAATGTGTGCATATTTTATCGAAGTATCGAAGTCCAGTAAGATAAGAAGTTGCTGCGCTGTCGCTAAAAATAATCGTATCTAATTCTCACTAAAAAAAAACGAATAATTCTTAAATTCTCGGTTAAACAGTCGCAACGAAGCGAGCGAGACGCGAGATATACAAACGTCAATATTTAAAGTGATATCTGACACTCGTAAGAGATTATTCGATAGTAATTAGCGGAACAGCATAGCGTGGAAACGCTGTTGCGTAAGGTCCGTGACCGGAAGGGTGGCGAATGTTGCAGGGCGGCCGTCTCGAAGGGAGGGAGGGAGGGAGGGAGGGAGAGGGAGGGAGGTGGCGAGTATCTAGGTCTGTGTAACGATTTTTAGAGTCCCGACCCTACGATCGTTCGGGCCATAAAAAACTTGAGGCACCCCACAGTAGTCGAAGAGCCAGGGTTTCCATAGCGACGAAGCCCTTTCGCTCTTCGCCCGCAGGGCCCCCTTTGCCCTGTTCTGCGGTAACCTACCGGCTGCCGTTGCCACCACCCTTAACGCGCCGTACCGGCCTCGAATCCCGAAGATATACGTCGTAACATGAGCGCGACATAGCCCAGCCGAGGACCGATGAAAATTGCCCAGTCGATCGCTCGTTTAAATTTCTCGCCCTTCTACTGCATATATCGCTTCGCGAGAAAGTATAATTCTCTAATCCTCCAATTCAAAGGATTCTTTTAGATTTGCGATCAAATTTTAATCTCTTTGAAGAACCGTGACGCGGATCCGTATGAAAAAAAGAGGTTACTAATTAAACATTAAAGAGATACTAAATGGTTTTCATTAAATTTGAAGGATGAATCTGACGTATTAATTATACTAATTCTAACATTATACGAAAAGAGAGTGTGTAATCGCTAAAATTAGTCCTTTCGAAGGGTTTTCGTAAAGAATACGCGCTGATTCGCTGGGGTATTTCTTTGAATTCATACAACAGAGAATGGTACTTTCTCTCCACCGGTGCATCAGTTCTTTTCTAGGGATACGAAAATAAATCGCGAGTTTTGGGATGCCTGACCGGTTACTCAGACCATTTAGTCATTCCTCTTATACCGAGTATACTGGGCATCGCGCAGTCACGAGAACTCATCGTTGGGAACTGTCCAGATCACGAATTAGATCGTAAAAGAGAAGGACGACTCTGCGCTCTCTTGCAGGAGCACGGAAATAAACGCGTTAAGTAATGATACAAATGTACGGACAGCGTGCATTTCAACGCGGGGATCGGTCGGCCAGTAAAAGTAAAAATTCGTTGACAAACATCAGAAGGTCCTATTCGGTCGGATTATTAAATTAACGCGGCGGTATAGATCTCATATTCGGAGATATAAATAAATCAACTAACATACCTTATCTTGCCATTTACGACGGCTTTATAGGTGCAAAAAATGTGTCGGTACTTTCGCAATTATTCTAATTCGTCATATATTATAAGAGGCCACAAAATATAATGAAAAGCCCGAAATAAAACAACACTTTGTTCCTTATTAAAATTATGACACATGACTCGTGAATTAAAATGTTAGAGTAAATATTCCACTATAACGAAACATCTGTTTGCACTTAATTTGCAAAGGAAATATCGATCTTAAATTTTAACGATGAGCTACTCGAGCTTTGTTCTTTGCCTCTCGTGAATCGAAAATTAAGCTTATATGATCACTGATGAGGAATCAATTGTCCTCCTCATCGTAGTTGCCCGGCATTATAGTCGCTGTATAATTCGTGGGGAGATGGAAGAGGAGGAGGGAGGGGAGGGGCGACATGCGTGATAAGCATGATAGGAGGGATAAAAGGGGTAAGGACGGGGAAATTGAAAGAAGTATACGTTCGGACCGCGGTCGCGCGAAGGAACTAATCGACTGATTTGTACGCGCAGTCACGACTCGTGTACGTAGCCAGACGTAATCAAAAACACGCAAACCGTGCGGTCTTGTCCTCCGCAGTATCGACTCTTGCTCTTTACTTCTATTTGTCTCTCTCATTGGCATACTAATCTTTATTGCACGTTTATCTTAATCCTAATCTGACTTGTGATGGCGCATGATAAATTCATCGCGCTTATGTGCAAAACAGATTAACTCTCCCGGCGAAAAGTTTCTTTCGACCTCATTCACCTCGATAATTGACATTTACTATTAAGCTGACATATGAAAAATGTCCAGTTTTAACGTCATTATCGCGATAAAAGATACACCGATAATAAATAAAATATAATTACCGTTCTTTCGTTATCAAAGATTTGATTAAATACAATGGATAAAATATCGCATACGAGCGCAAAGTCTATCGAAAAACCTATATATATCATCCTCTACGCGCGCATAGAACATTTTCACAATAAAAAGAATGAAAAAAAAAAACGAAAAAAGAGCTAAAACGTGAAACAAAGAGAGGAAATTAATAAATTCGAAGAAGTTTGTCTCCCTTCTTTTGGCCCGGCCGAAAGTATGGACTTGAGCAGTGCTCCGATTTCTGTTCTGGCCGTCGTAAACGAAAGGTAGCGTGAGATGGTGCACAACCGAGAAGATACAAAACAAAAGAAAAAAAGGTGCGCAAGGGAGGACCGGATTGGGAAAGATAGCCCGCGCGCACGGTTGGAATAGTTAAAAATAACTCTGACCGAAGATCCTGCGGTTCCTGTAAACACGAGCTCGAGCATGGCAAAACGAGCATGGCGCTATTCGCATGCGAACCGGCGATCCACAGGGATTTTAGCGAAGCGATAAACCCAGCGAAAGGATACGCGTTTCATTCAGATGCATTTAAGGAGTCAGGACGAGGGACTGCCTTTTTGCTTTACATACAGAATGACGGCTTTCAAAGTGAAAACGTTTCTTATTTTTCAGCTTGTGCTGAATAAGTATTTTCAAGCGATATTTTATCAAATTTGTTACGGGCGAAAGTTTATATATCGCGATTAGAAAAAAAATTGCGTTTTTATAAAGTCTTGAAAAGAATCAGAAAAGGATTTCTTCAAACGTATATTATATCTAGTAGATATTTTAAGTTTATAATTTATTTCTCGTCATCAATATAATTTCAATGTTCAGTAAATATATAAAAATGCAGCAATTTAATTGGTAGATTCGATTCAATTTCCAGAATTAATCTGAAAAAATCTTATAATTGTTTCAAATATATTTATATTTCGTTCATTATTCAAACGATATGGCTCCATATTGTATCTAATTTATTTTATATTAAAATTTTCTAACAGCATAATATAAGATTTTTTAAAATTTTCGAACAAAATGCTGTAAAATTATATATCTCGATTTTTCTGAAAACAAATTTCTCTTTCTATACAAAAAATATTTTCCTTTTCAATTTTCTAAAAATCTACGCGCCATTCTATATCAATATTAAGAGACGAAACGTTTGTGTAATTCAAATTTAACACTCACGTGCTTCCATAGAGGTGTCTTGAGTCAGTGGTGGATGCTGCGTCGTCGTCGTCGTCGTCGTCGTTGTCGTTGTCGTTGTCGTCGTCGTCGTCGACGATGCAAACGAATCTTCGTTGTCGCGCGCGATGGTGACCTTAATCTGCTCCTCGTCGTCTTGCTCGCCCTTTGTGGATGAGCTTCGCTCAGAACTCGCGCGCACCCTTACACGCTCGGCCACCTGCACATCGTCTCCGGAGAACGCGGACCGCGACGATGACATCGGCCCGGCGACTGTTGTCGTGGTCCACTCGATGACACTACCACCACCAACTACGACCGCACCATTATCTTCGTTTCCCACGAGCACCAACTCCTTTTCGCCCTTATCACCTACCACTCGGTCCTCATTCACTCTCCCGACGTCATTTTTCTCGGGGACGGTGCTTCCGGCTCGCTGAGTCGCACCGAGGTACGCGACGTTCCGCGTGATCGTTCTGGTCGCCACCGCCGTCGTCGTCGTCGCCGTTGTCTTCGAAGCACTTTCGCGAAGTAGGATATCTCGCAGGGAGCTCTCCGGACGCAATATCGATTCCCCAAACTTGAAGACGGGCTCTAACGGCGGAGTGAAAGTCTGGGCTGCAGGGAGAATCCTTTCATCGATTGACGGCACGGGTTCCACTTTGCGAGATTGCGGAGGGTGTTCGTTAACACGTCGCCATGCCTCCGGCCAAGGGTCGATGAAGTTCGGGGAGGGTTGATCTTTCAGCTTCGATCTCTTGCTTATCGGTACTCGCTTCGCTCTTCCTCGTCGCGCTACGATCTCTCCGTTCTCGTTGTCACGACTCGGCGTCAGAATGGCAAGATCTTGATGTCTGACGACGACGACGGTATTCAGCGACGTTAAAGACGGCAACGGTCTCAATAACGTCGGCGGCGACGACGACGACGACAGCGGCGGCGGCGGCGGCGGCGTCAACAATAACGGCGACGTTAATGACAGGGGTGACGTCAAGGGCGGCGCGGACGAAGGCGAAAGGCGTGTCGCCAATGTAAGATGATCCAGAGTTCCCCGATTCGCGTGACCTTCGGAACCGACGTCGTTAGGGCTGGACGCGCGCTTGATCGCCCTCCGGAACGGGCGCGGCGCGAACGGATAATCAGGCGATCGTGGCGGCAGGTGAACGTTATAGGGCGTAGTAGCGTCGACTCCGTGGACGCTATTCAACGGTTCGAATACCACCGACGCGGCCGTCGTCACGTGCGTGAGATCGTCGAGAAGAGCAACAACGAGAAGAAGCAGGGGCAAGCCCACCCCGCCCCCGTGGTGGCTCCCGCTACCCCCTGCCGTGCGATAAGAATCCGCGAGGCGGCCGTTCAATCCGGCTGTCCGCGATCCGCTCGCGACGGTGAAGAACTTTGTCGTTCTTTGTCTTCTCGTCCTCCTCCTCCTCCTGCTCCTCTCCCTCCTCCTCTTCTTCTTCCTCCTCGCGATTTACATGCAACCACGCGATCCAGCAGTCCTCCTCGAACACCTGCCCGCATTCGACGATTGTGTTTCGCGTCCCCACGTTTGATCCACCACGGCTCGTGCCGGCGTCGTGCCGTTCTGGCATTTATTATCCCGTCCTGCGTCCCAGACACGTGCTGCTGCCCCTGTTGCGCTCGACGTTGCCGCCGCGATGGGCGATCGACTTCACCGTATACTCGATCGACGAGCCGGACGATACTGTGCACCCTGTCCACGGGCATTCCGCCATCATCGCGCACCCCGTGAACAGTCGGTGCCGCGATTCGCGTCCCGACGACGTTCGGCGCATCGACGTTGCCCGGCTACGTCGCGCGGCATTTTCCACTCGTGTTTCACGTCTCCTTCTCCGCTTCTTTCGCCGCGTCCTCGCTGTCTAGAGACGCTGTCCAAATAGCGTTCAGAGGACTACAGCGTAATCTGAAACAGTCAAATGATTTCGCCTTAACATATTTGGATCGATAGATTTTTCTATCTAATCCATTGTCTAATAAATCTCCTGAAATAAATGTTCTTAAACATATTTTCTTTCTCCGCGTCTTTTTTCCTTTAATAGTTCCTCATTTTAATTCAAAGTACTTAAGGTAAGATGATCATCTAATTTCATTTTGATTCTCTTTCTCTTATCTTATTTCTTAATATATTGTCATCGAAATTTTGTGGATAAATCGGAAGGGCCTCCTTACTTAAAATTTTAAATTCTTCTAATTTATTTTATTCAATAATTAAATAAACGAATTTTTATTTTCAATTTATATTATATTTTAATTTTTTATTATAATCTTGAAAATTATCAAACTTAGTATTATACAAAATATTAGTATTATACTAAATTTAATATTATACAAGTTCAATTAATAAGTAAAACAAAATTCCTTCTTTTCTCCTTTAATTACACTCAGAATTGAATTTTACAAAAATTTGATTTTGAGATACAGTTATAAAATATAATGATATAAATTAAGATAAAAATGTTTACAAAATTTAACATATTTACGAAATTTTTTACTTCCCTGGTATCGAGTTAGTTAACGTGAGATGTTAACATAACATGATCAATACCAAGTTCACGTGTATCGTTTGCCGCCAATTATTCACGGGACGCAATTATCCCGTCGGGAATAGAAGGGTTAAACAGTCCAATAACAAGCGCAAGTACGGATGTAATAGTGCATGCGTGTCTCTCAATGTGAATTGCAAACATGTATTTCCTGTAAGACTCACTAGGGAATTCATCTCGAGGAAAAAAAACAGAAGTTAAAATAATCACTATAAAAGCCTATCGAAGATAGTTAGTTTTACATTATAATTTGCGTCAAGCAATCTAAGATATTTTTATGTATGTTATGCTATAAAGATATACTATGAAAATATCTTAATGTCGGTAAATATCATTTTTATCTATGCAAAAAGTATCATTGCATTATCTCGATACAGCGAGCTCGATTTTCGATTTTCATTTCTAATAGGTTACCGCATTTTCAATATCCCATTCATTAATCAACGCTCCGATTCTGGAAATGCACCGCGAAAAGAATCGACCGCTTTCGCGTGCTTTATATTTCAAATGCTTATGCACCGTTTGTTCTCGCTAGCAGCAAAATAGCTTAAATAACTAATCCCTGGGCATAATAAAGGTGACACGGCAAGCCATCTGCATAGAGCGAAGAAACACAGAAATACGAGCGTCTAGATGGGAGTGACTGATCTAAAAGTGTAACGGAGGAAATATAAAGGGAAATGAGAGAGAGAGAGAGAGAGAGAGAGAGAGAGAGAGAGAGAGAGAGAGAGAGAGAGAGAGAGAGAGAGAGAGAGAGAGAGTAGAGGAGATCGAGGCTGTAGCTGTTAAGCTCCAAATAACTATTAAAGTAAACTCTACTCGAAATTAGCTAAAATTTAATTTCTTTATAATCTTGGAATTTGACTCATTATACATCTTTTTATTTTCAATCACTTTCTAGATCTAAATTGTCTCGCAATTTCGAAATTTCTAAAAAATATTACAATGTACATAGTTGAAAGTGCAATTTACACGCGGAAGCTGACTTTTCCAAATTTCTCTTACAACACGATTTTCAATGCAAAAAGGAAGATTAACGAATTTTGGGATACCCTGCGCTTCGTGTACGTTATGACATAATTATAAGTGGAATATTTTCTTGAACACGGCAAAAATTCACAGCGCTACCTCTAAAAATATTTAAGATACGTGCTGAAAAAAATAGACGGGTGAGAGTGAGTGAGGAATATATACGGGCGGCGCTTCTCGTTACACGAGGGTCGACCCTCCTGAAATTTGTTTACTACGCCGAGGGACACCGGTGCCCGGGGCTAAGTATAGCCGTAAGGAGGGAGAAACCGCGAAAATGCTATTTTTATGAGCACGCGCCGCGCGGACATTGTTGTGCCCGATCGGCTGTGTCTCGACGGTGCCGCCGCGCCGTTGGCCGGGTCCGTACAGTCGTCATCATTGATGTCGTCGCGATCACCGTCATCGTCGTTGCGGCACGCGATAACCGCCGTAAAAATCAAATAAAAAATGAGACCGAAGCTGGACATGTAATCGATAATTGCATTTTATCAAGGGGCATTTTCGAAGAGAGGAAAATAATTTATCGATTTTCTGTTCGTAGAAAATTCCTACATTGAATCATATATAATGAAAATGATAATAATAGTTTTCAACGTAATAAACGAGCTAATATGTTTGTCATTTAAATATGTTACAAAGAAATAGTATTTATACTTTTTGGTAATTATTATTTTTCTTTGACTTATATAACTAAATATGTATGCAGTAATTATAATTTATATTGGACTAAAAGTATCTTGAGCATTCACCACCGATTACACCTGAAAAAGCTCTTTATTGTACGATTTTTAATAAAAGTCCCAAGACACCTTCAATTTACCTTCAATTGTTGCTTATTCAATTTTAATATTGTTAATATTGCTAAATAAATCAGATTAATGTTGTGAAATTGTCTCTAATTTCGATTAAGCCAAAATTATAGGTACCTCTCTCTCTTTCGATTTTTTTGAGAAGTCTTAAAACGCCCTAAAGTTCTATTGTGGAGGTCACGAGACACTCGGCTATCTCGAATAACAAATTCCTAGTGGCGGAGAGTCGGCATGGTAGGGACCTCGAGGAAGACGGGATGCTAGACGGGGTCCGTTTCTACTCGGCTCGCGTCTAATGCGAGATTCGTGTATGCTGGCTGATAACGATTGGACTTTCGTATCGCACGGCGTTGGCGGGGTGTCTCGCGCGGTGGACACACGCTCGCGCGTTGCGGCACGCGGCCGATTGATCTTCTTATCCCAACGCGAGAACACGCGCGCGCGCGCGCTTTCTCTCTCCCTCTCTCTCTCTCTCTCTTTCTCTTTCTCTCGCTCACGCGAAATACGTGTGTATCCGCCATACGTAAAACGCGGAATACCTGCTAATTATAGTCCCGTAGCTGAAGGAAGGAAACTGCGGAGGCACTATTTTTACGACTCTCCCGCCAAAATATCGTCGCGCGTCTGCCACGCGCTCCTACTCGACGGGAGGACAGGCGTTCACCTTTGTATTACGTGACGCGTTTTATCCCATTGCACGACAGATAATTCGACGGAATTCGATTTGGAATGGAGTGCAATAGCAAGTTAAAAAAATATAAATATTTTATCTTCGATCTGTAAATTGGACCGTTCCACGATTCACGATTGACGTTAGAAAAACATTTTTCAGATCGTCGAGAGAAAAAATCTCCGATTTTTTCGATTTTCGCGAAGTTGTGATAAATTCGACACAACGTGAAGAAGAAGAAGTACATAATACATATTCATATAAAACTTAATAACTGAATT